ACTCAAATAAAAAATCGTAAAAAAATTCATAAGTAAAATGTCTCAAATACAGATTTATTTTTTACATTATGTCACGTCTCAATTAGTTGTACTTTTGAAAGTTTCAAAAAAACATAATGTAACGTAAAATAAAATCTATATTTGGGACGTTGGGAATTGATGTCTCAAATTTGTGACATCAATTCCCAACGTTACATCTCAATTGGTTGTTTTTTTTTAACTGTTATAAGTGTAACCAATTGAGAGGTAACATAACGTAAAAAAAAAGGTGCAATTAAAATACATTATAAATGCGTTTTTTTTTCTAAAACTATTTAATTCCAGCATGGCTTGTGATCAAATGTACATTTTCTAACAGCTGTTTTTTTCATAATTTCAATAGGATTTATTATACTTAAATTTTATACTTTGGTGAGAATATTGTCAACAACTTTAAAGGCTGTTTACACTAAACTTTGATTTTTTGATGACTAATTATTTTCCTATTTTTAAGACGGATTTTTACAAAATTTTTTAAATCTTGAGATTTAATTTTTATGTTGATAAAAAGTAAAAATTAAAAAATGTAAGGGGTGGGCTGAGGTTAGGGGTGGACTGGTGGGTCTTAATAAGCTTAGGGTGGATTGGAAAATTTTCCAAAAATTATTAAACTACCACCCTCCCTCCTTTTATTAAGTAAAATAGAATATATTAAATCTGAAAAATATTAAATATATACTCAATGATTTTAAGATTTTATTTTTAAACATTTTTTAAGGATGATCAGATTTTTTCAGAAAGTTGGTGTGGGAGATGCCTACTTAAAAAATAAACATTTAGCAGGATGATGCTTACTTTTTATGGTCTTTAAGTTCCTAGGTTTTAAATCTGCACGATTTTTGATCATAAAATCATTAAGTTTCAAACCAAAAAACCAAAATTAGATTTTTTAACTTACCCGAAATAACTATAACTAACCCAAACTTTCTATTTAAAGATCTAAATAGTAAATTTACTATTTAAATCATTATATAGTAAAGTTCGGATAAGTTAAATAAATCTCCTGGGTTTCAAAAAAATGAAAGTGCTTTCAATTTTTTTTTTGTATAAAAAAAAATTAAATGTTCAGTTGGTCAAATGGTCAGTTAACTGGTGACTTTTTCACAAAAATATTCATTTTGCGCTTTTAAAGTTTTAATAAACTCACAAGCAAAAATATATATAAAGTGTTATGATCAGTGTACCTAGAAATTTCAATATCAATAAATTTAGTTAAATTAATTGATATTGAAATTTATAAATTGTTATTTGTAATACTTAATATTTTGTTTTACTATTTACTATTTTAACTCTACTTTAAATATATATTTGTGCGCTAATATATATTTTCATATACTTTTTTTTTATATATAAAAAATTATATAATATTAAGTAACCACATGTTACAATGTAAGATTAAAAATATTACTTTTTGTTACGTAAAAATAACAGACATTTATTACATAATAATACATAAAAATGTTAGGTTGCGTTAAGTAAAAGTACATATGTTATGTCTCGCTACGTAAACATGTTATGAAACATTACATTTGAAAAAAAAATCTATAAAGTAAACACTTAATCATAATGATTAAAATACAGGAAATTCCATAAAATTCTATAAAAAATACTTTGAGATAACAAAATTTCGAGTTAACCTGTATTTAACTTTATTGTTATGATCATAAAAATAAAGGTACAGATAACACTTATAATAATAAAAATGATAACAATAAGCGACATTTTTTATTAATAAAATGATTATAATATGATAAACTAACTATGAATAACATCACTACCATATGAAAACCATAACATAAACTAATTATATAATTAGAGGCATAAAAGATTAATAAAAGTAATAGAGATCTCATCCTCGAGAAACATGTTGATTAATTGCTAGACAAAAAAACTACTCTGACTTTTGGTGAAGAACATTCTCCTTTATCTCCAGTAGTTTCAAGAATACACAAAATTTCATCTTTGGTCCTGTGTTACTTTATTAATGATCTTATCTCAAAAGTACCTGATGATATAACTAACTGATCATTCAGTCAAATACTTTTACTGTTCCTTCATGATTAAAAAAACTTTTTTTTTCAACAATTTTTTCCCTCAAACATAAGCCCTTTGGTATTTTGGTACTTTGGTATTTTGGTACTTTAACTCCTTTCTTTGTTTTCTGTTAATTTTCAACTTAATTAGTGGTTTTTTGCATCCATTGTTTTCTGTTAAATTAATTAGTGGTTGCTTATAATAGTTAAAACAACTATTACAAACAGCTACACAGCTAAAAGTTTTAAAAAAAAACAGCTATGCTACACAGCACAAAAGTTTAATCAAGATGGTTTAATTAAACTTTTTAGGGTTTTTTCAAAAAAAATCAGGAAAATGAATTTAATTAATTTTTTTTATTTTTAAAAGAACAATCTATCTAATTATCATTAATAAAATAAGATAGCTAAAAAAAATAATTTAAAAATATAAGTTATTATGTAATCATAAAATGAGCTTCATAAAATTTAATAGGGTTAAGTTTAAAAAACAAAAAATAAAAAATACAAATACAAATTTAATATATAAAGTGTCCTCCTTAGGCTCGATAGCAAAGAAGAATTCTCTCTGCATTGATTCCGTCACTTTCATGCACATCTCATGTGGTACTTTTAACCAGTACTCATTCAGAAGTTGCTTCAAATGTTAGTTGATTGAATTTGACGGTTTACCGATCTAGTGTCAATCCATGACCAATTATTTTCTATTGGGTTGATATCTGGTGATCTAAGGCACCAAGGCAACAAATTGATCTTCTTTGTGGTAAACCAGTTTGCTATACTATGTGCTGTGCATGCTCGATCCCTGTCCCCTACAATTGCTTTGTCGATAGAATCAAATATGTTTTAAGTGTGTTTTTGTAGGTATATTGGTTGATACAGCCATTATACAGCTCACAAAAACCAAGGCCTTTGTGGGAAAAAATGCCCATATGCCTACTGAGCCTCCACCACTTTGTTGTCTTGCTTGTAAAAAGCGTTTGCAATATTTCTCAGTTGTAAATCTTTCAAGGTATATTCTTCCTTTGTGGTTCACAACCTGAAAATTTGACTCATCGCTCCAAATCACTTTTGCCCAATATTCAACTGTCCAATCCAAACATTCTTTACATCTGAATCGTCTTTGGTCCACGATTGACAGGATTTTCTTTCTTATTGTAATGTAAGACCCAATACCTTTTTTTCCTAATGTTCTTCTAACAAGTTATTTGCTTACATTTTTAATTAAAAAAGGATTGGTTGAATATTTGAGCTAGCTTTTTGTTGCTGAGCCTAGGATTTTTTTTTCTAGTTTTAAATATGCTACTTTTGTCACGGTCACTAAGCTTCACTGATCTTCCAGAACAAAGCATGTCAACAATGTTACCTACTAGCTCTCAGGTTTTCACTGTTTTTTGCATGCAAAATTCAGAAACACCCATAAGTTGACTAATTCCAACATTGTTATGATTCTTTGATTTGTCCAATCCAATAATTTGCTATTTGATGCTCTCTGACACTGCTTTTCTACCCATTTGCAAGCAAATTAAAATTTAAACTATTGCAGTTATTCTTTAGATAATTTTTGGCAATTAAATATTTTTTTGTAACTATAAAACTATTTTTTTATTTAAGAATCATGAGTACTCTTTATACTTATAATTTATACCGGTAATGAAGTATAATAATTAGTTATCAAGTGTGAAAAATGTATAATTAACTTGATTAAAGTTTTATGTCATCAACAAAATACATCGTATAACGTTTAATTAGTTTTACGGAAGAAGTGTAGTAAGTGTGATTTTTTTTTTAGTCTATTTTATTGATACAAACATAAACAGCAAAACACAAAAATAACTATTACAAACAGCTACACAGCTAAAAGTTTTAAAAAAAAACAGCTATGCTACACAGCACAAAAGTTTAATCAAGATGGTTTAATTAAACTTTGGTTGATACAGCCATTATACAGCTCACAAAAAGCAAGGCCTTTGTGGGAAAAAATGCCCATATGCCTACTGAGCCTCCACCACTTTGTTGTCTTGCTTGTAAAAAGCGTTTGCAATATTTCTCAGTTGTAAATCTTTCAAGGTATATTCTTCCTTTGTGGTTCACAACCTGAAAATTTGACTCATCGCTCCAAATCACTTTTTTTTGAAGTTACAGCAGCAAAACACAAAAAAAAAAATAAACTTAAAATCTATATTCATTGAACTTTATGTTTAACGGATATAATGTTAGCACATAGTTATGACAAACTCTTTCTCAAATAAACTTTTGTGCATAGTTGAATTAATAATAATAAATAATAGATGAAATATTAATTAATAATAATATTATTAAACTTAAAAACAAAATGTAAAAAAGTATATACTAAATATTAAAAAGTAATAGCATTAAAAAAAAACAACTAATAATATAACAAAAAGAAGGAAAAAATTCAATAAAGAAAAACAATCAAGCCAAACAAAAAAGTGAAATTTTAAATAGGTTCATACATACATATCCCCCCCCCTCCATACACACAAGCATGCACACACACACACACATATACACGCATTGTAACTCAAACAAAGCCAGATAAAATGAGTGACAACAAATAACCATTTTTACTAAATCCTTTTTTACATTATTTATCCAGTTTTATATTAAACTAAATAATTGTTCCCTTTAAAAAATCACCAAATAATCAAAATTAATTATTAATTTTTTCAAGATTTACCTAAAATAAGAAATAAATTTTAGAAATGCGTATGTGGTAATGTGAAGGTATGAAGAGTGTGGAATTAAATAATTTCTTAGTTAATTGCAGAAGTTTGCGGCATTGAAACTTTGTATATAAAAATCCAAATAATGATAAAAAAAAAGAACCTTCATTTTATTATTAATTGTAATGCAATTTGAAAAACATATTCAAAATCAATCAAGAACCATGATAAAGTTTTTTACCATCCCTATTACAAGGGTCGCAGCAGTTTATAATTGAAGTTACAGCTGCAACAATCAAAAATGTTGCAAAATAATTCTTCAGATAAATCATCTCCATAAAAGCAGTTAAAATTAATCCATATTTTTTATAATTTTTTTATTCTAAAAATAAATATGATAAAATTTATTATTTCGTAAATAAAAGCAAAGCGTAATATTATAGACATTAAATATAATTCTGTATTACTGACAAGTACAGAAGATGGAATAAAGTTAAAAAACTAGCAGTTAACATTTAATAGCAGAATTTTGTCTAATAATAAATGAGATAAAATGTAAAAGTAAAAATTGAAATTTTAAATTTAATTTATTTTAATTTTTTAATAAGAAACTATTATAAAAATAAAAAAAGATACTTAAAAAAGTCTGGTAACACCAGTATTCCGGTATCAGTACTACCAGTATTAGATGCACTTATACATGCATACATACATATACATATATACATACATACATACATACATACATACATACATACATACATACATACATACATACATACATACATACATACATACATACATACATACATACATACATACATACATACATACATACATACATACATACATACATACATACATACATACATACATAAAATATAGTTTAATTATTTGAAATAAAGGTTAAAGATATGACAATTTTATCAAAAACAAAAAATCTTGAACTCAATGAAAGTAAAACTTTAAGATCATTTTAAATAACTTATGCCAATGTTGAAATGGAACTTTTAAAAAGATATAGAGGTTAAGTGCCTAACTATCTGTACAACAGTCATCATAGCTTAGTCAAGAAAGAAGTGTGCTCTCATCACTGTATCAAAGTTCACCACACTTGAACTTAGTGCATCTAAGAATTAGATTGACATTTTGAAATCTAATCTTGTTAAATTATGTCTATATTTTGATTTTAATAATACTTGCATACATTATACTTGAGTGCATTACCTCATACATCGGTGTATTACATGATACCTTAGTTTATTACACATCATATTTAAGCGCACTACATCATACCTCAGCGTATTACCTCTACCTCTGTGCATTATATTATACCTCGGTGCATAACATCATAAACCTGTAATTTCTAGGTTAACTTGCTAAGCATACTTAAAGGCAGAAAAAACAAATACTATAGTATATAATATTATATATAATACTTATATTAAATTTATAGTTTTATGATAAGTTTTATTGAGTCACTTAACTTTTGTTTTTATAAATAATTACATCATTACCAACCAGTTAAATTAAAATCAAATTGAATTTGAATCTGATTCAGGTAAAGTGAAAAGTCAGTAAAGCACAAATATTAAGTATAAGATTTGATGATCTTATCTAATGCTCTGATAACAATCGATGTTTCAATGACAATCATAGCTCTGATGGCATCATATTAAATAACTTTATGTTAATTTTGCAATGACTTATCTGACACTAAATGCAATTGATAAAAGATAACAATTGTTCTCAATTCTCAAATTTTGGTACCAATATATTCAATGGTAACATTTATATTTGTCAATATGATGAACATAAAACAGAAATCAATTAAAATTAGAGAAATTTGGATATATTTGTTGAGATTGACTTAACTAAATATATAATACAGCTTTATGTTTTTATATGAATGCTTTCATTATATTGTGTACATTTATACTATCTATATATTATATACTTTTATCAAACAATATTTGCTTAGCATTTATCATAAATAACTTTAGTTTAAAAGTATTTTTATTTTTTTAAACACAAGTAAATAAATTTTAAACTAAACATTAGATAAATTTACAATGTAAACAATAGAAAATAAAATTAATTGGATAGTTTTTTTCAACATCAATAGTTCAGATAATTATTCACTTTACTAACTTGAAAGTCATTATAAGTTCTTTAGGCACAATATTAATATCTTGAAATAAATAATCAAAACATTAAAAAGTAAGCAAAATATACAAACCAAAGTATGCAGTTATTTTTTAAATTTTATTTTTGTTCTTTTAAATGCTTTTTTTTTCTTTTCAATTAAAAAACTCATTTAAATGCGCTTTTAGTATATTTCAAAAATAAAAAAATCTGATATCAAATGAATCTACATAACTATTACAAAACTCCTATAAAAGCTTTCATTTAACTCTTAATGAATTCAGCTAGAGAGGTTCTTCCAAAACCTTACTTGCACATACGTAAAGTTCATATAACTAATTATAAAAATTGTATTATAATAATATTGTAATTTATATTATAATACAAAAAATAAAATTAACTGATGTGACAATATTTGATAATTTGAATAAAATCTTTTTATTGTTAATAATATAAATAAATTGTTATAATTTATATTGTGTGTAGTAATTAGATTAAAAATGAAAAACTTTTACTACAGCATCAATTGTACTTTCTATTGTAAGTGCTATAATAAAATTTCTCATTTTCATAAAAGAAAATTGCACAATAAAGCATAACAATACATTTACTATATATAAACACTACATTTACTATATATATGCACTATATTCCCAATTGCTTACTATACTCCATTGCTTCACTTTAATAAATCTTGAATCATTTTTGATTGACCTTATTTGTTATTATTATTGTTTTAAATTTCGTTACTAACTTCAATGTATCATAATATATGTTACGACTTCAACAAAAGTTATTGATAAATGCATAGTTTATAAGTTTATACATTTTAATGTGTTTTGTGATTTATTTTTTATTGTTTCCCCTAATTTTAATTTTTTTTTTTTTATTTAACTTTTTTTTCAATTTCTAAAACTTCAATTTTTATCAAGCAAGTTAATATAAAGTATGAATAATTCAGATTACAATTTAGCCATTTGTTTTTTTAATATACTTGTCTATTCAACTACTGAAAACATAAAAATGTATAACTATTATTAATTGGAAAAAACCTTTTAGCGTTCTTTCCAAGTATTTACTATCTTGAAATGTAATTATCTATTGTTGAACCGAATAATTCTTATGTAAATTGATAGATAAATGCTTCAATTATATTACGTTTTTATAAAAGCTATATTAATTGTTTATAAGCTGTTAAAAAAAAGTTGACGTTGAGAAAAACGTGTGAGAAAAATATAATTTATTTTAACATGTTGTAATCATTCCGGAGCGTTGATTGTGTCAAGATTTCGTGGAATATTTTATCCATTTATTTTGTTCCGGGAATTTTTTTTTTTTTTAGAAATGAGATTGTTACAACGCTAAATAACAATAAAACTGTAAAAATATTTTATTTATGTCATTAAAAACAATACGCATGAATAAATCAGGGAACTAAGTACTGGGGTTCTGCCCCACCCGGAAAAAGTTAACAAGCGTTCAAAAAAGTTTTAAAAACAGAACGTATAAATAAACAAAAAAATAACATAAAAATAATAAAAGTATTTCTGTTAATTTTTACGGTTATTTTTTAAAATTAAAGCTCATTTTGTGGGATTTAAAGAATTCCACGCATCTAATTAATCTTCAAAGGAGTTTTAGATTTTTAAACTAACAACATAAAATTAATAATTTTGTGAGTTAAAGTTTGTTCCGTCTAATCAAGCGTTCGCGAGTGATAGTTTTGTCTTATCGACAAGAAGTAATTTTTTATTTAATGAATTTTATTTAATTAATATTTATATTCCCCTATTCCAATAAAAAATGAAATTTTTTGAAGAAACAACATTTTCCAACAGTTTAATGATACTAAATAAAGTTTTTAATTATATAATAATAATAAAAAAATACTATTTTTCAAGAAAAAAAAAAAGATAATTAAATAGTTACAATATGCTGTGAATTTTCTTTTATGTTGAAGTTTATTTGATTTAAACGAGTAAAAAATCTTGTTTGATTTTAAATTCATAAATGAGAACATAGTAGCGATGTTATTTAAGAGATATAAATAGGTTTATATCGTCGTGCAAACATGCCCGTCATTAATATGACGATTACGTGTTATTAATGACGGGCATGTATTAACATTCTGGATACGTTATATCTTTTTATCCACTTTATAGCATTTTCTGTTATTCCATAATAGTTAAGTTTTTTTTAAAAAAATTTGTTGGTCTGTAGAAAAAAAGGCTTTTTATTAGTCAATGAAGATGGCTGTGCTATATTCGGATTATTCAAACAACTCAGTAATACTACATGTTTTTTTTTGTATCCATATTGATAATTAATGTCAATTTTGTTATTTACTATTCTGTTGTTTAGAATTTTTGAAAAAACTGAAAGAAAAGAGAAAGCAAACTAATAATTATTGACTTTTGTTAAATCACCTTAATATTCAATATTGACCTAACTTTAACTATTTTAAATTGATCAGGTAAAACTCCTTAACTATTTCAAATTATCAGGGAAAACTCCTTATCAAACTGTTTATGGAAAAATATTACTTCTTTAATAATCTCATATAAATTTTTATTATCATCATTTATATCATCAATTATCGCCATTTATATCAACAAAATTACATGCTTTGTTTAGTTTCAGGAAAAAAGCTGTTTCCAAATTAAAAAAAAAAACTTCACAGGGCAATTATTAGTATTTTCGCCTTAGCTACATCGAAATCGATTATTTATCGATAGTTGTTTTGGAGAATAGCTTTATCAATGTGTTTTTAAAACGGCTGGGGTGTTTTAATAAATTTCACATTGTAGAGGAGGTAAAAAGTTGAATATCATTGAGTAAACATTATATAGCTTGCGTATTTTATGTTTAAAAGGAATGCAATGAATAAATATTTTTAAAGCATTTTTTTAGTTCGGATTTGACAGGTAATTGTTAAATAGAATATATGGTAGATTAGGGTATTATAAGCACCTTAAGCAAAAATTGGAACATTTTCAAAAATATTAATGCTGGATCCAAGGTTATACAATAATTGGTAATACAATAAACAAGATTATACAATAACAAGGTTATAATGTACAATATAATATAACCTGTAGATATATAGATATCCCTATAACATAATACAATATGTAATATTAAGTGGTATAGTATATGTGATAATAATATGTAATAGTAGGTGGTATGATATAATATGCAAAATAAAGTTGAATGCTCTAATGTACAAGATATGTATAAATAACTGCGATTAAATGTAGTCT